CCTCACGAAATGAGGTCAGGGAGGCAATCATAGTGATGTACAATTCAAAAGTCTGTAAGGTCAGCCGGGTAAGGCGACCACAACACAATTACCGTCAGCTTACCCGGGCAATACTTTCGAGAGACTAGTGAACTGTGCAATGCTCATTTTCATATGTATAGATGGTGGGCGTGTTCGGGAGATGTTATTTGAAGCATTTAAAACCTATTGAATTTCTCTTAGATTAAGACAAATAATCTGAAATAATGAAGTGGATTAAGGTTTCTCATAATTAAAAGTAGCCGACAAGCAGTACCACTTATCGTTGGGCGGAAACTTCAGGCGCGCCTCAACTCAGTGCAATTTGCGGGTAACATCAGAAATCTTGCAGTTAAGAAAGTCATGTTTAGCCTCATCTTCTTACACATGGTGCCAAACAGCAAAAAATGATAAGAAAATTACGTAGAAAGGCCGCGTTTTACTGGGCCCGTACAGAAGTCGTGCCATTTTGGTTTTATTAGAATTTAAGGCTCACTCTAAAAGCTGAGCAAGCCGAGACAAAAGAATGTGTCAGGACAAGGCTGATTTTTCTTAACACAGTATAAAGATATTTGAAAACATCAACTATTTTCTTAGGAATCTTGAAACTGATCTAGCACTTCCAAGGCCAAAGACTAATTTCCTCAAAGTAAAGAAAATTAACGTAGTTTCAAGTATAGTGGTGCAATATTAAAATGATCTGTAATAATCTTTCTTACGTTGCAAAAACAGCAACATCGCTTTCCGAATTTAAAAGCAAACTTGCCTCTTTGCCCTCTGCTGGATCACTCTGATTCCGTAATTTGTATGTGTGAATATTTTAAACTTTTGCTAATTATTCTTCAAAACTCCCACTAACATTGTAAAGCGTAAGCTATACTGTGTAAATTTAACGCATTACTTTCTACTAATTGATTATTCTCTGAAATTTTGTAACTTTTGTGAACACCATACTGCTTTTATTTGTTAGTAACGCTTTTTTCCTACGCCCAACCTGGAAATCAGCTTTTTTTGAGTGTGGCCAGCGTAGTGAAATAGATTTCTTAATTGATTGGTTGAGTGATAGATATGGAGTACTAAAGTTTTCTACCGCTGGAAAACAAACAAGCAAAAAGTAGGAGGAAAAGAAGAGAAGAGGTGGCACCATAGAGTCGATTTATGACGAAAAGGCGTTGGACTGATCGATTTTACGCAAAGCTAAACACCGATTGTGTTTGCGCTCTACTATTCGACACTTCGATGTGCCGTTTCAGCATCGAGGGCTAACCCTATGCTCTTCCCTCATTATTTTATTTATTTATTTATTTATAACAACTTTATTTGTAATAATCAATACAAAAAGGCTGCCATCAGGGAGGAACTGAATCCTCATGTAAGATGACCCCCTTATTTTTTGGATAGATGTGCTTCGAAAAGAGTTAAGAAGTAAATGCTAAAATCGAATTTGATTCTATCACACATTATTTGTGACACCCCTTCCCTCCCCCCTTGCTATTTCCGCGCGCCCAATAGTATAGTATGGGGACAAGTGTAAATCTGCGTTCATAGTTAGAACTACCATGTGATTTTTTTTTTCAGCGATTTCTTCAACGTCGAAACTGCATAGCAACGTGCGAATATGGCTGTAATTCAGACCGTGACTGCTGTCCTTATAAAGATACTGGAAAAAACGCAAAGTGCCACCAGATGCTTGTTAGTCATAGATAGTATAAGTTCACTTGGTGCTTATATTATAATTTTAAAAAATGGGTGGAACAGATCAGCTTCCAGGTTGTTTTCGATTCCAGGTTTCTTAAGTGTTAAATTTTTCTAAGTTTAATTTGATAATTTAATATAAGGTTTTTGGCATTTGAAGTATTTTAGTCCTAGCGAAAATTGGGAGCGTTTCTATTTTCCCGGGGGGGGGGGGTCCAAAGTTTCTGTGATGGTCGGGGATGCGGCGATCGCTCGCACCTGGACTTTCGACATATTTGCACTTCAAACAGTTAATCCTGGTGTTCATTGGCGGATCCAGGGGAGGGGTCAGGCCAACCCCCTTATTTTTAGACCAAACTGAGGCCCGAAAGGTCGAAAAAAAATTTTGCTTGAGACCAGCCCCCCCCCCCTTATCTCAGGGTCTGGATTCGCCAATGGTGTTCTTTAATTTTCGTAGGCTCTATTTCCCCTGCTCTTTAGGGTCTGTCCTGAGAGAGGAGGAGAAGACAGAGAGGAGGAAGGGGTGTGGGCTCTTTTCCTGAACAGCGGCTGTTAATCCAGGCTCGATTTCCTCGTTTTCCGAACAGCGGCTGGTAATCGAACCTAGAGGCAATTAGCCTCTTCCAGGCGTTCAGATCTCCCCTCGTGTTCCTTTTGCACTCACCGCGTACGATTTAACTCGATCCCCACCATCTGAACGCCTGGAGTGACAGGCTAACTGATAATCGGGCCCACCACTTTCGCCGGCGCGCCCTGGCTCCAGAGGTCCGTTCTCTGTTCACGGGGTAACTTAGGATGTGCTCACGGTTTGAAAAAATAACCTCTGGAACCCAGGGAACGAACCACTTTCGCTGACTTTTGGATTTTTCTCGATGTGATCTCTTTCACAAGTTTGACTGTCATTTTGTGCTTATTGAATTTTATTTTAATTTTAATTTTTTCTTGCAGTTACTAAAGGTGTGTCAACCCAGATTGGCCTGAAAACTCAGTTTTCCAATGTTAAAGCGACGATCATGCATGTTTGTCGTAATCAGTAGTCCGCAATGAGTCCGTGATACAGACGAACGACTTTGCAAAATGGCTGGCAAAATTGAATGTTTTTAACTGAGTGTCAGTGTGTGAATGTAGACTGCCTCGACGTCGAGGCTGTACAAGTAATGCGGTGTGAAACAACCAAGAAATAATAAATTTTGCTTAAGCCAAAAGTAGGCTCCTGTCGTCTCATGTCTGACGCAATGTTTGCTACCCGAATGAGCAGCGCTTGTTTAAGGCTGGTTTTCTCTCCGTGAGGGGGACGGGGGGTTACTGCCATGTATGCGCTGTATAGACCTAGATATGTGCCGCTGTGAAGGGTATGGTAAGTTTTAAAGCAGTTTTGGGTAGGGTACTGATAAAACAGAGAGTTTGGGAATAGGGCATCATTTTGTAGGAAACTGGCTGAAGATTTTAGTTTAGACTAGGGAAAGCGAAAATTGTCACTCCAAAACATATAAAAATCAAATCTGTTTTGTTTTGTCTGGACTGTGCTAGTAACCGCAGTTGTTTCTGGAAAACAGCTACTCGGAATAGTGGAGGGGGGATTTGGTGAGTTTAATCTTGTATAGGGGTGGCAAAATTCAGTTGAACTAGCTCTGGTATAGGCTAAGGATTCCAGGTTCCCAGCGGCACATCCCCACCCAAAATTCCTAAAGGACCCCCCCCCCCGGGTTTTTCACCAGCGACGGAGTCAGAGTCGGAGTCGTAATTAGAAGCGTAGACCTTTACGATCTTGGTTAAACATCGTTCTGATTCTTCTGATTCCGCTTATGACTCGACTTCGTCGTTTACGATCAATTGAAAACTACAACAGGTCATCGAATTCTCAAGCAGAAGCGGAAGAACTAAACCTTTCACAAAGCATGAGAACGTGCATTGTGAGTGGTTTTTCCTTCCGCTTCTCCTTCCGACTCCGACAATCTGGTTGTCACTAGATCATAAGGGGAACGTAAGTGACGATTCTTCTGACTCCGATTCCGTCGCGCTTATTGGTCCGCTTACGACTCCGATTCATAAATTTTCACAAGAGAGAATGTTCTCTCTTGACTTTCACTAGGTCATAAGCGCTCTTACGACCACGCTTACGACTCCCGCTCCCACTCCCACTCCGTCGCTAGTGAAACCAGCCTTTTAATAACAGCGTCATATTTGAAGCTCGGGATCTGGGATTTTAAAGCAAATTCGGGGCGAGATTCGGGATTGCAAAATTTTGGGTCGGGGTCACGGGATTGAAAAACCCTATTGAAGTCACGCCTCCTTAACTCCAGGCGTGGTCATTTAAATGAATAAAAATATTCCTTAATTGTCATTACAATGATAACTAAAACTTTACAGCATTAAAAGAGATATTCTAAATGAAATATATGGTCTACAAAAAAAAATATAACCAGCTAATAATAAGAAGAATAGTTCCCGCAACTCATAAGGGAGCAGTTCCATCTGACCAAAGAGAACTGATTCAGAAAAATCACGTCACTTTAAACCTGTTTAAAGTGACTTTAAACCTTTTTATCCTTAAAACGATCATTTTTGCTACCAGAAAGAATTTAAGAGTGAGAAGTTTATCGTCGGCACCTTATTCCAGTCATTTCACCAGGGTCATAGCCCCAACCGTTCGAATTCTAGGAGCTTCTAGGAGCACTTACTATTTGAACGGAAATTTAGGAAAAAAAATTTCCGTCAAATGGTACTGTCATTTTTTTGGGAACCGAAAACAGGAATGGGATTGAGTTGTACCATTTACAAAATACCGGTAAATTTTTCGCTTTCTTTCGACTTGAAGCCTGGCCCTGGTAATCCAAACAAACGGTACAGAAAATTTCGGTCGTTTCGGTAAAAACGGGAAAAAGGTAATACCTCGAAAGGTTTTACTTTTTTTCCGGAAAATTTCGACCGGGATGAACCATTCCATTTGAATTCTCCCCGGAATTTTCGGGTTTTCCATACAAAAGGTAGCGCTCTTTGCAAAAATTTTTTTTTGAAATGTCAATTAACCTTACAAGTCCCAAATGGCTTGAGGTGTATGCGGTAAACAACCCTTATTCTTGCCACATAGACACGTGCAGTAAAAAAATCCAATCAGAAATTAGCATTTAAATTAAAACGTTGCTCCGCGCTACATTCAAAAATTGATAAGCTGCTTGCGAAGGTTGCTCACGAAAAAGAAACAAGACGCTCTCACATAAACTGGTATCCGTCTTCCTCAGCTTCACTACTGCAAAGAAGCAAACCGTGAGAGCACTCATCTTAAGATGTTAAAACCAGCGTACGAGGTAAATTAGTTGTTAAAGTTGTCGTCAATTTGGTTGAAATTTATAACTCTGGCAAGTCCAACTTAAAATTAAGTTATGTCGGTGTCCAGTGTTCTTGTTTTTATGTTGGTTTACTTGTTCTCAGAGCGGAAATTGTGAGTAGAAATGTATATAACCTACTCGGCTCAAGCATAATATCAGTCCATGATTTTAAAAGCCCTTCGTAGCTCCGGCAAAGTCGAACACGTGGCGGTTTCTGAAATACAAGCGAAACTCAGTGGAGACATTCCAGTTTAAAGTAGCCCAGCAAATCATGTCTTGCTCTTCTTCTACATAAAAATTAGTGACCAGGAAAGGAATTTTCAAAAACGACGGCAAATTTGATTAATTTTTTTCTCGGTGTACAACGGCAAGATTTTGGCTCAGTTAATATCACAAAATGAGGCCACTGTACCATTCAATAAAGTCAGGAAAGACCTAAGCTATTACGCTGCCTATTCACGGAAAGCCTCGAAGTTTGTAAAGGATGTTTTCTTGAATTTCTTGTTATTTAACTAACAGTTTTATGCTGATAACCGCCCAATGACGAAAATTACTGTTGAAGATGTGAAATGCGAGGGGCTGTGGTTGACACACAGGCGGCCCAGACGTAATATGTGTCACTGAATGAATATATTAATATTCACATGAACAAATTAATGCGAGGAGTCGTCGAAACTCCCATGAACTAAAATAGTCCAAAAGTCAAAATATAACAAACTAAAGCTAAGATACCTTCAACTAAACGTATCCTTGTCTTTCCTGGCCGGTTTAAGTGGCATTTTGTTGAGTTTTGCTATTGTAGGTACTATCTCAACAAAATGCCACTTAAACCGGCCAGGAAAGACAAGGATACGTTCAGTTGAAGGTATCTTAGCTTTAGTTTGTTTTATTTTGACTTTTGGACTATTTTAGTTCATGGGAGTTTCGACAACTCATCTCACTAATTTGTCCATGTGAATATATTAATATATTCATTCAGTGACACATATTACGTCTGGGCCGCCTGTGGTTGACAAAGCGTTAAAACTGAGCAATCTCGTACAAAGTTTTCGCGGAGAACTGCTGCTTGGTTTGCACTTTCCCCAAACACTATAACTGATTTTTGGATTTTTGGATTACGATTAGCGCTAATTGTATGGTCCCCAAAATATAACACGTAATAACATATGTATTAAGGCGTTTCTTATGACGTCCGTTTGCAGCATAGTTAAGTTATTATTCACTTCTATCTGAAGTTTTACGTACGCCCAAAACGTGTTATATATGCTGTACTTTGTTAGCTGTATTTATTCCCTGAAGAAGTCTCAGTAAGAGGTGAAAGCGTCGGAAATAAACGAAAAAGCTTGCAACTACAAGAAGCAGGGGCGGATCTAGGGGGAGGGTGCAGGGGGTGCGCACCCCTACCCCCTGAGATGACCTGCGGTTTTCTAATACAACTGGTATTCTGCAAAAAAAAAACTATGTGGTTTATTGGTGTTGAAGTAGAGCAAGAGACGAGTGCACCCCCTCCTAAAAAAAATCCTGGATCCGCCCCTGAGAAGTGTTCCTTTGTGCTGCTCACTAGTCTTCGTTAAAAAATTTAAAAAAATCGAAAATTTATTGAGGTTATAAGGCTTTCTTGCTTTAGATGAGATTGCTCTTTAAAACAACGAACCTTAGCTAAAATTTAAAAGAATAAAATGAATTGATGGGATAAAATATGCATACATCAACCAATATAGTTTAAAATGGCAATAAACAGTTGACATTGAAACTTAGACTATTGACGATTTTATTCTTAGATTGATGATGAATAGTAGAGTGACTAATTGCACTAAACATAAATTATTGATCAGTTGTCTCATAGTTTTCAGATGGATTCCATTACTTTTGGTCAGATTTCGCCAATCGCCTGGCTTAATTGCTCTAAAACAGAAACAACCAATAGCCTTACTTGATTCACACCTCAAATGATATAACCACATCACGCGCGAACTCTCGCGTGAATGCATTGCGACAGAGCCTGTGTATGGTTACTACGATGTTGAAGAATTCAATTTATGATGCTAATTGGGAATGGATAAGATTCGCAAAGATCGTCACCAGAGCCAGACCTCATATGATATGACTACATCACGCTCGACCTCTCGCATGAACTCTCGCGTAAATAAATTGCGATACAGCTGGTACAGTTACTACGATGTTGAAAACTGCAGTTTTGGATGCTTATTAGGAATACAAAAAGTCTTCGCAGAACCCTGAATCAGTTTGGTTGGGTTTATGCAAACCTTTCTTTGGTCAAAGAGCTTTTCAAAGTTGTGAACAAATCGTGAATTACGTGTTTCCGTATTTTTTCTCCGTTTTTCTTTACGTATCTCTCTGCACTTAGTTGAGGCCTTTTACTACTGTCACCTCAGCTTCCTATGCTTTCGATTTGCAGCTCTCAGATCAGACCATATTCTTTTGGCGGACCTCCAGACTATACCCTCAAACCAGTCTATCAGAACCGCCTCAAGTCAGACCACACCAGACCAAATCCGACCTCAGATGAGACCACAACTGACCATCGTCAGACCCGACCACCACCAAATCAGACTATCAGAACAGACCTTCACCGCCACACCAGACCACAGACCACCATCCCTGACTACTCAGCTTCCAATCAGTACAGGATGCCCAGCCTCTTGAGCTGGTACAGGTCAGGTGCACTCTTTATGGGTTGGGTCAAGGGGGGTATATAAAGCTCTGGATGAACCTTGCAAAGCATACTTTCCACACACTTTCGGCCTGAAGACTCCGGAATTCTTTTTTCGGCTTAACTTAATTGTAGTTAGATTAGTTAGTGGGTTCCCCGGGCTGGTAAGGGTCTCTCCTTCCCTTTTTCATAAGTTGGGTTCCTTTGCAGGTGTTCGGTCAGCGACGAGAGTTCGGCTTTTAGGAATAGGCTCGGTTTTTGTATTCGGTTTGGCATCTTGGAAACGGTTCGGCTGCATCTTTTTGCACTTTTTTCCGATGGACGTCGTCACACCGCCGCCGTTGTCGTCGTCGTCGGCACTACAGCCTCCCGCTTAGTTGCGCCAATTGAATGGATCTATCACACTTCACTTGGCAGTCTATGCGATGGGCAAGCGAAGCTTTCATCAGTAAGGTTCAACCAGACAGTAATTATTCTAAAACATAACTTAGTAAACTAGAGACTTTAGATCATTCAGCTACTGTGAGAGGACCTCATTTGGTCACTGCTTACAAGCTTAGCGGTCTCCCTGGTTACAGGTAGATAGTTAGTTCAGCCTCGCAAATTCAAGTCTGCTCCTACCAATTTGGCTTTTGTTGTTAAACAGTACAAGTGTGAAGAGGAATTTTTTTTAAGACTTCGAATTTGTGACGGTAGATCAGTTGACAGGTTTAGTCGTACAACAAAGGTGATCCGCGACCAGGCGTTTCTTCCCGCGAAGAGCCAACGCCTTGTTGCAGGTTACCAGGGCAACATGGGACAATTCACACACCATAAGCTAGATCGTTTACAACTGTAAGCGTAGGAAGTCTTCATGACCAATGTACGACACAGCTTCATCGTTGAAGGACCAAAATCAAGCCGCGGATATGCTTTAAGAAGAGTTAGTATCCCGCGAAGTGATCACGAGAATGCTATCAGGCCGAATATTCGGGGACACACATGTGGAGGCCCACCATACCTTGATATGCGTGCCCCTGAATGGCATTCAGGTGAAAACCTCGCTGGTTATAGATAGTCCTTCAGTAAGTAGCAGGAGAGGATACTCTAGTTATGGCATCGTTGACACTAAGACGATTTGATTTGTCTTCCTGTAAATTTTGCCTCGCTGGAGAGTTCTCTTCTTAGGAAGTCCTGCATTGCACTACGCAGGCGCAGATCGTCTACAAATGGTAGGCGTACGTAGTCTTCACGCCGACTGTTCGTGGTCATTGGGTTCGTCGTTCTTCTTCCTCCGGAAGTCGTCAGCACTGTTTTACCTCCGACAGCTCGTGAAGTACGCTACGACTGGAACTGAATCCTACGCAGCACGCTGTTTATTCAACTTATTTCTGAATCTTAATTGTAACAAAATGTTGGAAATGTGAATAAAATGTATTTGTTTGAACTGTGTCATATTGTACTGTGGGTCCATTGCTACATCAAAGAAAGATGCCGGCCGAAGAAGGAAGAACAAAGAACCCCGAGAACCATAGAAAGATAGTCCAGTAGTACCAGTTACTTAAGTAGACCAGGTAACTACCTTTTCAGCCATGAACGGAGAAGAAAAATCACGTCGAAACTAACCGGACAATAACGATGATGATGGTGATAATGATGACGATGATGATGACGATGGTGATCATTCTGCTTCTATGCAAACAGAAGCCGATGACAACGTAGTATAAACGACTTCATGATTAGGAAGGCAAGGTAAAACAAGAGAAGACAGCATATAGAAATAACTTTAAAGAGCTGTCTTAACTAACGTTGAGATTTCCATGATTAAGTCCTTATATTTTCCTCTATTCTTCTTTATATGTCGGAACGAATTTGGAAAATTTTGAAACCAATCAAGGCAGAAGTTTCTTGGAATTAAGTAATTAGAGAATGCAATTCCGAAAATGTTCCGCGCAGAAGTGGAATTTCATCTTATCTCGGATCCCATGTTCGGATGGTCTAATGTTAATTAAGACAGTTATTAATATTTAATAATTCTAAGTTTAATTGGCCGGCCGGACCTTCATCTTTGGAGCATCATCAACAACAACATAAACAACAACAACAACAACATCATGGACTATACATATGTACGCCTTGGTCTGTTAGATTGTTGGTCCCAGTATCAATGGTCCTTTGGTGGAGGAACCTGACAACAGAGTTCAGCATCCCATATAAGGTAGGGCTGATTGATGTTGGTACAAAGTTTGCGTAAAGCAGACGCGCTTGGTCTGGATAGCGTACGGCAAATGGAATTTCCACGGCAACGTTGTTTTTGTAAGGAGATTCGTTGCTAACGCAACATTACACCACATCAATCAGTCCAAGTAAGAATTCAACTTGGCACAAGGTATGTGGAATTTTTTTCTTTTTTAGGCGATTAGATTTTAGGATCGGTCTATTCGGCTCTCTTCCGGCTTTCGATTCGACTTTCGATCTGATTCCGGATTCGGCTTCGAAAAATGTGAAGGCTTGGTATCGAGGATGTTTCGATAGCAGGCCGCCAAATATCCCTGCGTACCGTCTGGGGGACCCTGGTGTGTTTCATTCGAGGTGTCAATCAAGGTTTATGGACACATGTCACACTCCTCAGTCTCACTCAGACGCCAAATTCTTGTAGGAGCGCACCCCATATATATAGATTACTGAATTTTGTAATCGGCGAACTGAATTCAATAAAAAGACTTTTAATTAACTAATATGTTGTCTGTGTGATTTTTTTCTTTTAGTTTAATTCTAAATTTATAGAGTAATTAGTTATAATTACTAATCACGATTTGATTTGCAGGTATCTTACAAAATACTTGTTGTAATAAAGCCAATAAAAATAAAACAACAAAAAAAAACACTGAGTTGTGAGTCTGGTCTTTTAACGCAACTACGTGCATTTACTGACGTTAAGCGTCAAGTCAGCGTGTTTTAAATTTATAGAGTAATAAGTTGTAAGTACTAATGATGATTTGATTTGCAGGTATCTTACAAAATGCTTGTTGTAATAACGCCAATAAAAATAAAACAACAACAAACAAAACACTGAGTTGTGAGTGTGGTCTTTTAACGCAACTACGCGCATTTACTGACGTTAAGTGTCGAGTCAACGTGTTCTACCGTAAAAACACAAGCAACTAATTTTTCCATTTCAGGTACGTCGAAAATTATATATTTTTGCGGCTTTTTGGCTCTACCTCCACTTTTTTTTAGACGGTTAATGGAAACATCTCATTTGGGCGCGCCCATCAGAGATCTTCAGTCACACATGGCGTTTTTCTACGTTATTTTATTCTTCTTTTTGGATGCGTTCTTGAAGAAACGCATGGCGGCGTTATCTTTTTCGAAGTGGAAGTGAAGTGACGATTGCAGAGCATGAAACTGTTATATTAAGGTTATTGTAATTGAGTTGTGTGTAATTAAAAGTTGATGAAAAATAAAGTTTAACAAACAAAAGAAATTCATCAGCTTGTTTTTATCCTTTAAACCAGTACTAAATAATCTAAATTGTTGTAACGGAGTTGCTTTTCAGAAATAAACAATAAAGATTGACCAACACAATGCCACTTCATCGCTGTATTTTTTCTATTAAAGCGATAAGATTTAACAAGTTTTATTTCAGGAACTTTAAACGTCGCCTTTTAAAACAGTTTTTTTCCTCGAACATCGCCACCTCAAAGACGTCTTTTTGGGCGCGCCCTCTAAAGACCGAGCACGCCAAACTGATTTTTTGACGTATGCTCTCACGAAGCTCGTTTTGGATGCACTGATGGTTGCGTTCCTGAAGAAACGCAAGACGACACTGATTACGACTGAAAAACGCCTCCAAGTTCAAAAGGTAAGTGAGATACTTGTTTCCCTTTTCAAGTGTTTTAACTGTTACATTGTCTCTTTGTGTTCCAGATTTAGTGCGTGAAGCAAAGGAGCGTTTGCCAGCGCCTAAGGGGTAAGGACGAATGGGAAAAGGACCGTGAGAACACTAAATCTGATTGTGCTGACTAATGCACATATCCTCAGATATTAAAACTGATTCATTTAGGCTAAAGTGGGATGCAAACCCACGATCTTTGTTTAGTTACTGGTGCGTCTAGTCTACCAAAGACTGCAATTTTCAAGACGTAGGATCTCAAACGTTCCACTGAATCTTTTTCACGATAATTGACAGAAATGAATTGGACGTCAGCAGTCAATTCCTAGGCCTTTAAAAGGAGTGGGCTCTGCAATTGGTATTCCAAAGGCTCAACAAAGCCAGTGTTTTGATATTACTCATTCTGTTTTTGAAAAGTATTTCATTTAGGTCAGACTGATGTCCAGCCGTGTTGTGGCATTTCTGAACTCCCATCAGCAGCGATCTATAACCTGTAAGTACCAGAATATAGGAAAGTTCTCGTTTTCAAGAGGATAAACAATTTAACCGAGAGAGTGGGTATTTTAGTTTAAGGAAAGAGTTTTACGGTCAATTGTGCTCTTACTGCACCAAAAGTCGTAATTTTATTGCTAAACTGGCCTCTATTCTATAGTGGGATTCCAACCTGTGAACATTGCTTCATTAGTAAGCAAATTGGTATGAAATATTTTTGAGATTCAGACGTCGGGGCCTCTGAAAGAACTGTCACGGTGCAAGGTTTGCCTTGATAATCTGCTTTTAGAAACTTTTTCATTTAGGTCTGTGCAATTCCAGAAGTTGTCTCTACATACAAGATCCAGGAATCCAAGGTATGTACCAGAAAGGAAGAAAGTGTTCACACAAAATATTCTAAAACGACTTTAAAGTTTCCTTATTTCTAATAAAGACACGGCTAAACTTTACGCCCAATTATTTTAGACCAAAATAACCCCAAATCTAAACATTGGTGCAAGAGTGAGTTGACCAGTATCAGAGATTTTGAAGCCGTTCGTCGTTTATTAGGGAGCTTAAGCAGCGACGTTTTTGAGCGACGCACGTCAACCGGAAGTGAGGTATTTCGAGTTTTTAAACCTTGATGATATAAAATTTGTATTCCTTAGCTTCTTTACTGTTATAGAGGCGATTTTACTGAAAATTTGCGCGAAACCACCGTCAAAAAATGAAAAAAGGCCACTTCCGGTTGACGTGCGTCGCTCAAAAACGTTGTTGCTTAAGCTCCCTATTATGAGGTTTAAAAACTCGAGGCAAAGCCGAAAGTTTTTAAACCTGATAATATACTCCTGCTCGTTTTTTAAACAGGACCTAAAAGCCTTGGATGATTATTTCAAGCCATGACTTCAATTCCAGTAATCATCCAATACAAATCCAAGAGTCGTATCCAAAACAGATTTTTAGATACTGGAATATGTGATAGATTTTCAGTTGCCGAAAGAAAGCTAAATTTCTTGTTATCGAGATGTATTTTATTTAGATCCTAAAGACTTCAGATGTGATGCCCTCCCCGCGGACAGCTGCTGTCAGAAATCCTAGCCATTGACTGGAAAACGGTATGTTGGATCTTGCTCAGCTCAACAGATGTATTAGTACAAGAAAAATATTCAGTGCCCATCTTTCAACAAATGATGTGGAAGCACTTGTCTGGAATGACACTGAGCTCGGATCGAAGCTAGTATCGGCGGAAAATTCTTAAAAAGAGTTTTGTATCAAATTAAATGGCCTAAATAAGCATGTGTTAAAACTGCAAAATACGAGAAGAAAAAGGGGGGATAGCTCCCCTTTTTTTCTGTCAGAACCTTTACTAAATTTCTTACAGCCTTGTCTCCTTTTTTAGAGAGATGAAGGAACTGTCTGGTGAGGCACTGTCACTGGTAGGACTGGAAAAATGGTTGACATGACAACCTGTTGTATAGATTATCGACGACGACGATAAAGTAAAGATGATGTCACCGGTGAAGGACAACGGTGGTGGTGATGGCGAAGCCGATTCCATGACCTTCTTCAGCAGGTGAAACGTGCATTCAAACGTAAACTAGAAATATATGTATCGCAGAACCTCGGGAGGCTTGGGGCAAACTCGTTCCCAGGGTCTCCTTGGGAGATGAGTTTGGAGAGGACCCTGGGAAGGTGGTTGGTTTCGGGGTTGGATGGCCCATGAAATAATACGGATGGGAAGGTGGGTAGAAAAACAGTAAATTGACTAGACCAAGACCCCATCCCCCCCCCAATAACGCAACAGCAAAGGTAAAAGGGACTGGAGTTTTCCCGACAATTCGAATGGTCTTGACGCTCTTCTCGGAGGATTAGCCAAAGGCTAGTAGGATTGTGAGTTAGAGGGGATAAAACTAAAAAAATAATAACATGCAAATGAAGCACATGATGGACTCATTTGAAGTACAAAAGAAAAAAAATGACAAAAAAGTAAATAAATGAAGACAATTGGAACAGAAATGAACTTGGAAATAAGAAATGAATAAAAGCAACGAAAGATAAACAAAAAACTAGTAAAATAATAATACATGATAATGGATGATAAATTTCATATAATAATGAAAATAAACTCAAATAAATATTATAATAAATTATTGATAATAATAGTGATAATAATGATTAAGAAGATGATAATAACAATAGAAAAGGAATTAACAGCAATGAAAAATACTTGATTGGTTTTTGAAAACGTAACTGCAAGGACTGGTTGAGGCAGTCACGTTGCAAAAATCCAGCTAAAAGTATTTTTGGTTTTTAAAAAGTCAGCTTTTCATTTCACACTTTTCCTTTTCTATTCTATCATTATAATCATTATTATCTTGGTTTTATGTTGTATTAAATTTAGAAATATTTGTCTAAAGTTCCTTTTTGTCACGATCTTTAGATTTATTTAACTTTTTTGTCTTTATTCTTTTGTGTGCGTAAGTCATTATTTTTACGTTTTATCCCTAGCGATCTATATTTGAGCTACAATGTTTAAGCCATTTTATCAAATTTCCAACTGTGCCGCTTTAGTGCTATATAAGGAGTGTCTGACCATCCGAAATATCTTGAAACGTCTTGTCGTTTTTTTCTTTGCTGTTCTGTAATAATTTTGCTATTACTTGTTACACGAATTGACCCAATGAAGGAGTGAGAAAAAACTACGCTTTGCTAATAAGTTCAGTTAAACGTTTGGTCTTGACATCTTGAGAGATTTAGGAACAATAGACGTTAACAAGCTGGGCAGCCTGAAGAGGCACTGTGATCTGAAAAGGTCTGAAGCCTGTTCATTGGATGATGATGATGATGATGATGATGATGATGATGACGATGATGATGGTAATGGCCATGATGCTGACGATAATGCCGATGATGATAGTGAGGATGATCTTGACGATGACGCTGATGATAATGCAAACGATAATGCTGACAATGATAATGACGATTATGAGAATGATGGTGTTGCATCCAATCATGCTGACGATGATGATGACGACGATAATAATGATGATGATGATGGTGATGACGACGATGATGATAATGACAATGATGCTGACGATGATTCAGACGATAATGCTGACAATGATAATGACGATTATGACATTAATGGTGACCCTGACAATCATGCTGATGATGATGATGACGACGATAATAATGATGATGGTGATGACGACAATGTTGATGACGATGATGGTGACGATGATGCAGACGACAAAGATGATGGTGATGATGATGACGTTCTTATGAAATCATTAGTATTCAGATGAAGGGAACCCCAAAGCTCAGTTAATGGCCACGGCGTCTGTACCTGGTAAGTATCAGAAAACTAATTCAATAGCTTCTTCATCCATAGCTTCTTCAATCATCTCCAGAGTAGTAGAGAGAGACAAGAGACGGCTGGGAAAAACAGCTCTCTATTTCACAGCTTCTTCATCAATTCAAAGTAGACAGACTGCAAATTATAGTAGTTGCTAAAAAATATATATCGACTAGCTTTTTCAATAGCATAACCTTTTAAGACCTAAGAGTGATCAGCATCAAATTTCTCTTTGTAATGTCAATACTTTGTTAAACAGAGCGGTCATGAGAATTACGGACACGATCACCTGAGATGAATTTGCTTAATATTTTATCAGCTTCTCCCCACAACTTCTGTAGGAAATGAATAGGGGCAACAAAAGAGAATTCATATTTTGACTAAAAATTGCAACGAAAGGAGTCAGGGAAAGCTAAGCTTTGATAATGTGTCCCGTTAAACTAGAGGTATTGACTAGACACAGTCGTTAGCTTCCTCTGGTTTACTTATTAAAGCAAAAGAAGATGAGAAAACGAGATTCTAGACTTTAAGACACCTTGAGATTCAAGATTCTATCAAATGAACTTTGCATATATGGAATTTAACTGAAACTTGTAAAGACTTGAATGGGAGTAGGCATTGATCGCACTTGCTTCAATGATAAAATTAAGGCTATTAATAATTTCTTAAATACTGATGACCAAAATATTCTGCAGCAATAACAGAATAAACCTGGGAGATCCTTATTTAAAAATTAAACAGTAAATTGTATTTTCTGTTTTCGTCTCAACAGCTTCCAGGAAAAGAGTGCTATTGGGTGTGCCCATATATCCCGGCGGAGGAGGAGTGCGGATGTTTGCCGCTCAACTTCCCTTTGTGCAGCACGAGAAACCAAGCGCAGATCAACCTGAAACTACGATAGACTTTTTTAAATTATAATATTTATGTAAGGCGCACCGCCCGTGTTCAAACTTTGTAAACCAGTCATTCCTAAACCGCAGTGAGTTTGAACTTGGGCCGATGTACCGAAGACCGAAGTGGTAATATTTTTTCTCAGCTGGTGAATCGAACATGTAATAGATAACGGGTTAAAGGGGTCTATACTAAATGAACTGTTTCATGGGATTTAGAAAAAAACGTACCTCTTGCCATAGAGTTTGGGCAGCAAATACTATGGGGTCACGTATTAGGATTTTACGAAATAAAGGCAGAAAATAGATAATTATAAAGTTTTAAGCTGCTTAGTGTTATAAGTGAAAACCTACCCTGGGTGCCAGAGACCTTTCATGCGCGGTTTCCGGGTTCGGTCAAGTCTTATAAGTGACCCACGGCTTTTCTCGCGGCTTCGCCACTCGTTTCTTCGGCCTTCGGCCGAACACATGTCGGCCTGCGGCCGACACCCGGCGAAAGCTCTTCGTCGCACGCGAGAAAAAACCTCTGGTACCCAGGGTAGTGAAAACTATAAAAAGCCATATTTTATTTGTTTTCATTATCAGTTTTCGTGCTTAGGTAACGAGCAGTCCCTCTTTTCTCTTCGTCCGTCGAGCGAAACGCGATAGACACAAATGATCACGTGCGTGACTAAAGGCGCGAGAAAAATAGAGACTGCACGCAATATATTTCGTGCTAGATGAACGTGGCCGACTATACAGAAAATTAGTGAGCCATTATGTAAAGGAAGAAAGCTATTTTACAATAATGGAAGACTTTTTTCCCTGCAGTTATGTTATTTATCAATGCGGCTGCGAAAATCAGAGTGTAACTTGGAACTTCTGAATTCTTCTTAATTAATGCCATAAACGCTGATTTGCTCAAAGCTTTACCTTAACATGTAACATAAACAGCAATGACCTTCTAATGCATGAAGATTTTCAGAGGTTCTAAGGAAACCCTTTGACTGAATCTGAATTGTCTGCTTTGATCGGTAGGAAATCGTAGCTTTCAACCCTTTACATTGGTTCAATAAAAGATTTTAAAATATCTATAGCGAGCGAAAAACGCTCGGATATCATTGCTTGAGCACTTTGCAGATTTTTTATTCGCACTATTCCGAACCTACTTGTCCTTATGACGGGTGTAATTTATAGACAAAGTACAGCGCCGCAGATTTTTCACGAAGGAGGTTCACCAAAGACGTTTTAGAGTGACGTATGTTAACAGGATGTGAGGCATTTTCTTTTTTAACATGCCTAATCACTACCAAAATTCGCTGTTAAAGCCGAGGGGACATCTATTAATAAATAAATTCATAAGGCAAAATTTTTCTTGTGTTACATCTTTTAAAACGTTTATATCTCGGCTGTTTAATTAGAGGCGCAGTAATGAAAAGTTTACGGAGTTGTTGTGAAATGATTGCAGTTTAGGAGGGTTGTTTTTTTATTTGGTCGATCCCACTTAACAGCGATGCTTTAAGCCACAGTTGTACCAAACTGTGATTTTGTTTCTAAGTTTGCGGAAAGAATAGAAGACATCACTCTGTGATTTAATTAATAAATCGTCCGTCAAATCGCCCCATGTAAGGGAATCCATGACAGTCTTGGATTCTGGATTGCACCCTCTGGATTCCGGATTCCGAGTACTGGATTCCGGATTCCAGCTCAGTAGATTCCGGATTCCAAAACGGGCTGGATTCCAATTTTTTTCTGCCTTAATGCTCTTCTTCGCATTTCGTTTTCGTGTTCGAATCTTGCTATATTGAAAGACGTTGTTTAGAATGCATAACAAGTTCGTTTTCTTTTTCGATTTATAAATTACGTGAAGAAATGTATTACTGTTCCGCGAGGGTACGTTTAAGGTATAATAATGAGGGGGACATTGGGGGACTGTCCACACCGCAACACCGCGGAAAAAATAACAAACATCGCATCCCTGCAAAAAAACGTGGCGAAACACCGACATCGCAATTTTAAATTTTACCTTTCTCTCTCAGCCTTTTGTTTGTGCTTGTGCTTTCCAATAACAGTAGAAACGAAAAATGCAACAAACAACAAACTTCAAATAGGTCTGATCGAAGAGGCAGGCGAGATTTCACTCGAATGCCGGGGGATGAATGAAAAAGGCGCCCACCGCGTCCTTGCACGTGATTACTTTAGTGACAGCTGATTGGTACGGTTCTGACAGTTCCTGGCTTTTTTCTCAAATAAAGATTATCGAAACCATGAAACTGTTCTCAGCGAAACTACTGGGACCAAATTAGGCACTAGGAGACTGTGAATTTCTTTTTTTTCTTTTTAGGTAAACTGTTGAACATAGACGTTTATTTTCATTTGTGAACCAGGAGGACCAGGAAGGTTCAAGAAAAGGTTCACCCCAGGTGCACCTTTTCCAGTCCTATGCCAGGTCAAAAAGCTCGCATAAAATCGCTTTTGATTTTTTAAAGTTCAGCGAAGCGGGTGAACAACAGAGAATCAAACATAGCCAGAGGTCGAAGTTATTCATAACAATTCAATTTAAACCTTAAAAAGACTGCGCTGTGTTCCCTTGAAACCCCCCCAATTTTGTAATTCTCCCAGCCGCTCATAAGCAAGGGTTCCCTCGATCGCTATTATAAAATTTTAATCATGTGGCCGTGACCTCGGCCTTTCATATGGAGCTCGTGGACTATTGTTTTGACACCAGATATGCCGATATTATGTCGTCACGTTCAGAACTATACCCTCAGGAGGCTTTCCATAGACTAGCCTCCCCGCAGACGTCCTTTGGGGTTCGTTCGTCACGCATTCATTTCTCCCGCACTCATTTCTCCCCCACGGATGGTTTTTCTTACGAGCGAGTAGCTCAATTTAATCTGGAGTGGATCTTTAGTAAGTTGGATTCCGGATTCCAATCTTTAGTAGGATTCCGGATTCTTAGTGCTGGATTCCGGATTCCAAGGCCAAGGATTCCGGATTCCAGGAGCAAAATATTCCTGGATTCCGGGATCCGGATTCCCTTACATGGGGCGAGTCAAAACCTCTAGTGTGATATGTATTGAGCAGATTTTGCAATTTAAAGTTTGCCAGCAAGATATAATCGTTTAAATGAGCAAAATCTGTCCTTCCGAAATTAACGCCTTATATCTCTTTAAAAAAGCGATAGAATTCCGCTCAATACATACCACACTACAGCACACCAAGTTTACCCCTCTCCAGTGTCAGCTCGAAAAGTTTTGTATCTGCGCTGAATTTTTGGACACAAAATTGTAGGAAAAGTCAAATTTTGAGATCCCCGAAGGTATCCCCACTAAAGTACGAGTTCCAATCAAGATATGTCATTAGAGCGGTTTTCACTTGACTGTCGAAAGGGATTGGTTTTGGTTTTGGTTTTGGTTTTACTACGCCTTTGGTTGGCTAGTGTATTTACTTTGGTTTTGGTTTCGCGACAGTCGAGTGAAAACCGCTCTAACAGTGGTTAATTACATTCCACGCTTTAAGTTTGTTTATAAGATGCAATGTTTTCATAGATTTTTGAGGCCAAAAAAAAGGGTACAAAGAGTTTTGGTACTAAATTTGTTTGAAATTTCGAAAGAGTTTATTGTTTTTATTGAATTAAAAATCACTGAAACAAGGTTTACTTTGCTCCCATCTATTATCCAGTTATCAGTCTCGTAAACCCGTCGATATCAGTCGTTGTAAATCGTGCATACGTTTTAGACTGAATAAATGTAGAGCAATGAGAAAAAGGTGTCCACCTGGCTCTTAAAAGTGTTTTTACTTCTATAAATGGTATAAATAAATGATTTGCCTGAAAATTCAACTAGAAATAACCCTTAAGAATGCAAAACGCCCACTTTGCTGGATGTGCGTGGCTCAAAG